TTAGTCTGTACTATGTATGATTTATATAGATAATTTTATTTGGATTTACAGCTGTCTCATTTCAATTTGTTTATGTTTTGTTTAATATTTCATAGTTTGTATGATTATATAGATACTTTTACTTTCCAGAATTTGATTTAACTCAAAATTGGTTGAGTAATCAACTATTATGTTTCAAGATGAATAAAATCAACACTATAATTCCAATTAACACTAGTTTCTCAAGTACAGTATTTGGAATGCTCCCACAAGTATCAATTGACCTGTAGATTACCCATGATGCCCTTTAGGGAAATGACACATATAGGGAAATATATGTTGTGAATCTTTAACATGATTCTAGAACTCATCCAAGCCTTCCCTCAGGTCTACAAATGCAGTGATATCAGTTTCTACTTATAAAAAAAAATGTAACAATATTTTGATGTCTGGATTTAAAATTTGAAATAAATTATAATATAAAGAGTCTATAAATCAGCATATACAATGTTTTTAATTCATTTAAATTGAAGGTTATATATTTGATTTAGATTTATCTTCAGATGCAATTCCAAGAGTTACTCTTGCTTGTTAGCAAAATCTAGTTCAGTTTGTTGCCCCCTTGGGACAGAGTGTCTCAACTTATTTCATCTCACTTTAGCTTTAGGTTATGGATCTGTATTATATTTTTTCTTAGTACAGTATTTTGTATTCTGTACTACTGGTGAGCTATCCAAGCCAGCTCCTTACCATTAGGGTGGCATTTAGTGTGTCTCAATTTCTATTATGTTTTTTAAATAACAATTTTTGTTTGGTGTGTTTGAGAGGTATTTTTTTAGTTGCGTTTGGTTTACCAGATTTATTTAACCATAATGTAATTGATCTAATGCTTTTTCTCTAAAAGAACATTCATGACAAAGACATGAGACATCAACAAAATCATTCTATCATGCAGTACAATCCATTTAAAGACAACATTTTTGGGTTTGTTCTCCTGTCTGCATGTTCATCAAAAGATGAGCAGAGTCAGTTATTGGTCATAATTTTTTCTGCTGCCTTTTTAGAAATTATAAAGTGATTATATAACAATCTACACTTTGCATTGTATTGCATATTGGACCACCATAAAATATAAAATATGCTGTCACATGCCACTGTCACCCTCTGATTTGAAGTTGAATAGATTGAAAATTAAATGTCAATGGTATCTTATTTCAAAATTCAGGAAGGAAAAGTAGGAGAATCCGATGTTTAAAACAAGTCGATAGAAGACAAGTAGATGTATCATTTTGCCTTGGTAACAAACCTGCGCCTATTACAGCTAACTGCAATTCAAAATGCAAATTAAGGTACGCTTGATCCACTTTAAGGTATGTTCAGTACATATTAATATATTAATATGTTTCACACCAAGTCTTACTTATAATGTTTCCACCACAAATGTTTAAGAAATTTTGTCACAGTGTATTGATGGTGGGCATCATACAATTTTTAATATTAATTTTAATATTGTATTTCACTATATTTTTTCTTATAATTTTTGGACAGACAGAACTGATTTAGTTATAAAAAGTAGGCCCTTTTTTGTCAACCCCTCCATTTGCTGTGTATGAAAGTGTATGTTAATATTTTTGGAAGAATTAAATTATGATGAACTTGTGTGTATGCAGTTACTTTGCAAGTTCTTGGTTGCGGAATCAGAATGAAGTCTTACAGATATCTAACTATTGTTTTCCAGCTGGGAAAAGACATGGGAAAGTGAATGCTCATCATCCTGTGGCCTTGGAGAAAAGACACGAACAATCAAATGTATTAAGATGCCAAAGGGTCGAACCTCTGGAATTATTGTTGGCAATGGTAACTGCTCACATCTACAAAAACCACCACAAAGAGTTGTTTGTGATGGACAATGTCGCCAGAGAACTAAATGGATTTACTCTCGTTGGTCTGAGGTAATTATTAATATTATGAATTGGATATATACTGTAAATGCGGCTTTAGATTTTTTAACTGTTCCCATTAAAAATATTTTGGTTGGTGTGAATTCAAATGTAGAATTAAATTCTTCACAAAGAAAAGACCCCCTTACAGACTAACAAGTCACAACAGAAGATCTTTGTTTTATAACATATCATGTTTTCATTTTCAACAATGCTGCTTCAATGCTTGCTTTTATATATTTATAAGACTACATATAAGTGTAAGTAATGCTTATGTTAATTTATTTGCCAAGTTATCATTTTTACATACATAGTACAAATTATTTATGGGTTTTGGTTGACGTGATGGTTTGATCAGGAAAATGTATGTGCTAGGGGAGACATGTATTTAAATAGAATAGTAGCTTTGTGCATATTGTTTATACTCTTGTTTGCTGAGGCTATGTTCACAGAGCATGGTGGGAAAGCTATACATGACCCACAACAGGAAAGTATATTGATAATACTAAGGAAACTTAAGTTGACATTTTGGGAATTGTGATCATGTTCAGTAGTTTGTTGCATAGTGCATGGTACCATAGTTATCCATTCATCTGGTTATCCTTACATTAGTTACAAAATAGTTTTCTTGGTCCTTATATAGTCTTTCCATTCTTTTGTAATGTGTAATGTTTTCTTTTCACTCTTCATTCTCTTAGTATGTCAACAGTTTTTGTAGTTTGCACATCTATCTAGTTATCCTTATATCAACTTTCCATCTATTTTTGTTTTCCTATCTTTCTTTTTAGATAAAAAATATCTGATGAAAATTAATAAATTGGTAATTTAGGAATTAAAAATGATATGTTAACAGCAAGTACATCTTAAAGTGAATGCAAGCTATGACTCACTGGCTTTCTCTGTTGCTGTTCCTCTGCTTTGGAATGGTTAACAGTATCATCGAGTACACTGCATCTAGTTTGCTGAAAAACATCAGCTATAGCCGCTTTCCATTTGCTGAAAAACATCAGCTATAACCGCTTTCCATTTGCTGAAAAACATCAGCTATAACCGCTTTCCATTTGCTGAAAAACATCAGCTATAACCGCTTTCCATTTGCTGAAAAACATCAGCTATAACCGCTTTCCATTTGCTGAAAAACACCAGCTATAACCGCTTTCCATTTGCTGAAAAACATCAGCTAAAACCGCTTTCCATTTGCTGAAAAACATCAGCTATAACTGCTTTCCATTTGCTGAAAAACATCAGCTATAATCGCTTTTTATTTGCTGAAAACATCAGCTATAATCGCTTTCTATTTGCTGAAAAACATCAGCTATAACCGCTTTCCATTTGCTGAAAAACATCAGCTATAATCGCTTTCCATTTATAAGAGGTCACTAACAACAGTGTTTAGCAGCACCCTGAGTCATAAGTATAAGGCACTATATAAAAACCAAGAATAGTCATTATATGATGGTTTAATGATCTCACTTTAATTTAAATATAAATCTGAAGGCTCGTGGTAATGGTTGTGGCAATGGTAGTGGCTTATATAGTACTTTACACATTTAAAAGTGAACACAAAGCTCTTAAACAAAATCTGAAATTAAAAACAACTACATTAACACTTAACCAACAATAATCAATTAGGTAAGAACCAGGCATCATTGCACCATTCTCAGCAACTTAAAACACTTGGCCAGTTGGAGCAGTATCTTGGTGACTAATTTGTGCCCTTTTGCCTATTTTAACTTATTAATCAGTACAATATCAGTTGTGCACAAATGTTGAGGTAATAGGTGGCATGCATGCATTTCTTTTCAATTTTTCATATGAAAAAAAAAAATTATTTTAAAAATTTTATTTAAAAAAATTATTTTATGTATTAATCAAATTCAAAATCTAGAATTAGTGGTCTATACTTAACAGAAAATCCAGTTTGCAGTCTGAAGACTAGAGGAAACAAATTCAAGTCCTGTTCTTTTCATTTTAAGTATCTTGTATATTTATTTCAATTGATTGCTTATTACCATAATATAATACATAATTATCATTGTCTTAATCCAAATGGTTCTGTTTCCTTTTTAGTGTTCACGATCTTGTGGACAAGGTACACAGAGACGAAGTGCTTATTGTAGTGATGGCAACAGATGCGATACTTCATCACGTGTTGTAGTGCAGACTTGTAATGTTGGACCGTGTGCCAATTGGGTTGTTTTAGATTGGAGTTCGGTAAGTTTGTTGACTTTTTCAGACAGGAATTTCCAACTGTATGGTGGCCACCATTATCAACCCTGTCTCTTATACACATCTAGATGTGTATAAGAGACAGATTAAATTCTTTACAAAGAAAAGACCCCCTTACAGACTAACAAGTCACAACAGAAGATCTTTGTTTTATAACATATCATGTTTTCTTTTCAACAATGCTGCTTCAATGCTTGCTTTATATATTTATAAG